GGTTTGTTTTACCTACTATCTAACCATTCGCTAGCTGTAAGCAAAAATATCATTCCAGAACTGTTGCTTCACCCACAGTTTCCATGGGAGGGGAGACCAGAACGGGGAAAATGGAGGGGTGAGATTCTCTCTAAAATTTGGGGAAGAGTATCCACTACCCTTTTTCTTCATCTCTTCCTCCCCCTCATTTTTTCTCTCTGTGCCTATAAAAATACGCTAAAAATATGGCGGAATTTCTTATCAAAGAGGTCATGATACTAACTTTAGGCCAAAAAGAGATTACTTTATCTTTATTGTTAAGTAGTCCTCCTTTAAAAGGAACTTGGACAAAAATTTTAATTACTTCATAAAAAACCATACCTCAATAATAAATTTTGTCTTGAGAGTTCAAAAGTGATTGGGAATTTACTTAGGTGGAGATTTTTGCTGGAAAAGTGAGAAGAGGGATAGGATTCAGCCAGTGTTGCCTTTCCTGCAAACGCGGAATTGGACAGAATAGTGAGATTGACAGGTCATAAAACCTGACTTAAAATTATGCTTTCCTTGTGATTGCCACACAGAATGGTAAAGTAGCTGTCAATATTTTATGTACATTTCAAGTAGGAATGGCATGAGACTTGACCAATATTCAGAATAATTCCATAATGAAATGTGATTGGATTTAACACAGTTTTACTTACTTACAGACTCTGTTTTAAACAAATGAAGTTTCAGAAGTTGGTGCCTGTCCAAAAAATGTGTTCACGAAGTTTGAGGTTAAGGCACAAAATCATAGAATAAATAGACTAACACAAAATGTGATAGCAAGAGAAAGGCAAATTGATGGGTAAAGTCAGAGAAAGAGGGTCTCAAATTTCGGCATTTTACATTTCTGCTCATGCTCATTTTTTTTAAAAAACCTAATGAACAGTTTCTATTGAAATTTTTGGTGAGTTTCATGCTCTCATAAAAAAAAATCACACTAAATTAGGAAAATGATAAAGTAGTTTCCAAAGAAAAATATGGAACATAATTAGAAATTCTAAGACGTTGTAATTCTTACGCGCATTTTTCATATTTAGCCTTCAATTGTCAATTACACTCTAGAAATACTTAGAACTATTCATACTAAAAGAATACAGAGCTCGCAAATCCTGTGCACAGTTTTTTCCCCCTTTAATTCAATTTCACACAAATCCTCATGGAATAAATTGATTAATTAATCAATTTCTAGTACTAGACGGTGGATGAGATTCGTTTGCCCATCAAATAATAATATGTCTCCTTATCAAGAATACCGAAGGGTATCAGTGACCATTTGTACTAATCATGAGTATCTACTGGTCGATAGTGAAATTTGAACAAATGGTGCTTTATCTGATGTGACTGTTGATGCTCTTTGTGTGTACATACCATGCACGAGCACTATTTCAGCCAGACTTTTGTCTTTCATACAAGTATTTTGAAACCTCAAATTCAAGTGATTCTTGAATCAAGCCAATTTTTTCATTTCCTTGTGATGCGAATTTGAAAATAGGTAAATCAAGCAAACTTGAAGCTCAGCCAGGATTAAAATCACTTTAATCTACATGATATGAATCGATAATGCCCATTATATCATTACTTTCTTCGAGAGCACATGTTACACAGCTGGCACTGTCGAGCATCCTCCAAAGTATTTTCCGTTATTTCATTAAATAAAATTCTGATCTACTCATGCAAATACTTGTAAATTAAAACAGATGCTATGCATAATGTGTAAGCGCTTACCTCTGCTTGTCGGGGTGTACGTCAGGTGAGAAAATTCCAAGAGAAGGGAAACGGGGGGTTTAGAGATTTCCATGATTAAAATTGGAGCACCAAACTACTCCACAAAAGTTGCAAAATGTCCACGCACTTAAATTGCAGTGCCACTGCTAGAACCAACGGGGATCCATGCCCTGAGACACACGTACTCGCACTACTCAGCAAATTATCAAACTTGAATGTTTGATAACGACTGAAACACTTTGTCACTCGACAACTTGCACTGAATTCTTGGGAATGAAAATTGAGGAAATGAGCTTTCACGGCGTTGACACAATACACTTACGAGCTATGATCTTTCCCACATGCACCGAAAATTATTACCATTGACTAGAAAAGGGCGACAAAGAAGGAAAGTTGTAGAAATATTGGAGCGATTGCTCAATTCGGACGGCACGCCAGCAAAAACGAGATACCTACACATTTGTTTTGAGGTTAAAATACATCTGGTTGTAACGTTTTACACGGCTCTTATGGGGAAAACCTGAAAAAAGCTATTTTTCACTCCTTTAAGTAAAATTTGATGGGGGAAGAATTTTTTCCCTTAAACTTCAAGTATGAAGGCCTTGAATGCATTTAACTTCGGCGGCTGAATCTGTTTCTGGGTGGGAAAAAAAAAATTTAATAGTGGAAGTACACACTACATAGGGACTGCATCCGTCAACGGAATGGAGAGGAGGGGAGGGGGATGTGGTTATCCACTTGAATGTTTTAAATTCTCTGCCAGGAAAGTGATTCAGTGGCAAATTTTTGGTATTTATGTTCCACGAATGTTATACTTCCAAGAAAAGATCACTTAAGGTCACCAGTCATCTCATGTTACTCTTAATTTCACTTATTCACCTCGTCCCATAAGATCCTGTGTAAAAACTCACAACCTGATGCACTCACACACTCACAGATGAGTTCCCAATGTTTAGGTATGGTCAGTCTAGGGGGTATTGCGAGGACGCGAAACTGATGTTTGTTTACATGCACGATCCCTCTATGGAGAATGGACAGGGAGCATGCGCCGACCGGAGAGAGGTGTACCGCGGACAGCCAACCAATGGACAGCAGACAGTCCGGACAGCACAGACGGATTCCGGACAGCCGGCCGAAATAAATAATTCACCACGATCAAAACCGGACAGGCACGCGCAAGTGACTGAGAATGGGAACAAGGGAAAATAGATAAGTGATTAGCACCGTGAAAAAGCGCTTTACTGCAATTTTCACGACCCAAGGTCATTGATCAAACACTGATATGCAGGTGGAATGATAATAGTTAGTGACTAGGGGATTCCGCCCTAGGGATAATATTTATGGGGAAAATTACTTATTTCTAGAGAAATTTCGATGTTCCGATTGAATTTATTCCTGCAAACCCGTGGACTTGTCCAAGACCTCTGTCCAAAACCCTCATTCCTTGCGGCCAATGACGCTTGACATGAGAAACTCCTTCAAAATGGATGCTAGGCAATATATCATACTGCATTGCAAATGCTCTATGTCAAAGACTGAAGGCGTTCCCCCGGCAGCAAGCACAAAGTGAACTCTATTTTGCAAAAAGGAACCAAGAGCATTCCAATGTTGCTAGGATTGTGCAATTTTCATTGTTTGCAATCAAACTCGTGAAATCATGCAAAGAATGAAAACTGAGGTCACTTCCGTCTTTAATTTATAGTTTATTAGGGGAAAAGATACAACTTGCTGAGATGATCATTTGATATTTCCAAGGTACCTAAAAAAAGTTGCACAATCTTAGCGACTTGGGAAAGCTCTTGATTTCTTTTTGCAAAACGCAATCCAAGTAACTAAAAATTAACAATGAAGTACCTACATACCATCAAAAAACTGATCACACTCATCACAATCGCAACAATTCGTGATGGTATCACGCTTAGTTGAAATGGAAAGTATGCTACCAGTCACTCATGTCTGGGGTTCAATTCAGTTTCGAAGGGTCAAAGAAGGAAATGAACACTTTTTGAATAGGGCCATGACAACTAGTGTCTATAAAAATCTTACCCCCCAACCGTTTTTGCACCCTCTATTAATTGGATTAATTAAACCTTGATGCAATGATATGAATTCTAGTTATTAAGAAAACACCCTGAGGCTGGATAAATCACTGTGTCCTGTTCGTAGTATTCATCTTCTTTGTTTCAAAAGCTAACCACTGAGTATCATTATTAACCTTCGACTATTAAAAACAGACCTGCCGTATCATTTTTCAAAAAATGGGTCAGAATTAATTTTTTCCGTTCAACTAAACAAAAAAAGTCAAGCATTTTCACCAGAAACCGCTTCAAAGCCGAGAAAAGGTATTCTGAACATGAAAATAATTTTTCAACTTAGTTCCTGACATTGGGTCTAATGGAGGAACAAAGCTTCAAACTTCCTTGTTACAAACTAATAGTCAGTGTGACATAGTTCATAACTGTAAAAGCATTCCGTTTAAATCATACTTATTTTGCAAATGGAAAAATGTTCCTTGCCTTTCGGATGTTTAGGCCAGAGTAAGGACGGATCTAATCTCTTCTTTAAAAAAAATATTTGGTAACATCAAGGACAGTTTCATTCATGGGAGAACAAGGTGCACAGGAGCAGTTTTTGCTATTTCGAAAAATAAGTTTACGGAGTATTGCGATTACATGGATCCTTGTGGCAGAAAGAAAGTTCGAACTGACTTCTTGATGCTTAAAAATTGCAATATGGGGGCGAATTTGTCACAGAATATACATTCAGATTAGCTTTACGTGAAATCGTTATTATCCCAATTTTTTTCAAAAAATGTCCTTATGCGCCTTGTCCTCCAAGCCTTAAAATATCATACCTTATCTACAGTCTAAAATTCTGTAAAGTTGAGGAACAATATTTGGAACATGAAAGTAGTCCTTAAACGTCCTGTACATTGAGTCTCTCAGAAATGAAAAACTTCACATCTCATCTCCCTTCAAACTTAATGTGTGTCTCTGTGGTACTTGGTCCATTTCAGCTCTTAAAATAGAGTAGATATTTTAGTTTGCGCATGATTAGAAATGGACGTGTACATGCTGGACAGGACTTATCAACAAGGAGGTATACATAGTTCAAGCATGAATGCCTTCAAAGTAAACTGCCCAGCAACCTGATTGTTGAAATTTTGTGTTTGTCGGGTAGACATGGATGACATAGGTTAAAAGATGGAGTGTGATTGGTCGGCTATGTCTTATTGCTGCTTTATTGTGCCTTTGTTGGAATGGACAAAACACTGTCGGAAACTTAAGAGAAGCCTTTAGCTTGTCATGAGTTCCACCCGACATAGGCTTGACAAAGCAGCGATAAGACATAGCCAACCAATCACACTCCATCTTTGAACCTATGTCATCTATGTCTACCCGACAAACACAAAATTCCAACTATCAGGCTACTGAGGGTGCAGAATTTTCATTTTTCCATGATACGACAGAAGTTCAGGGAAAATTGGTAGAGTAAGTTGAAGCACTTAAGAAAAAGCGTCACCTTTGGATTGATGAGATTCAGAAAAAGGCTCTTTATTAAAAAAATCAAGTTACAAGATCAACTTGTAAACACAGAAACATTCTCTAGTCTTAACATTAATTTCATAAAAATACTGTCGTTACAAATTTTATAAATATATATTTGTAGAAATATATATATGTATAGGTGTAAAAAAAAAGAACATAAATCATACAATACTGCCAATAAATAAGTAAATAAATATTTCTCTTATACAATACTGCGAATAAATTAAGTAAACAAATTTGTGTTTTAAACAACCAAAAGATTAAAAAACAGATTAAGTCGTTCCAGTTGAAGTAAAAACAAACTTTGATTCAAACCTTTAGTCGATTCTTGATAGGAGTGGGAAAAAAAAATTGTTTTGATGATTAAAATCACATGCTCGATAACGGATGTCGCGCGATGGGATTGTAAAAACTGATACAGAGATTCGAAAGACTAGAAAATTAAAGTACGATGAAAAAAAATTTGAGGTACAAAAGAGCCTTTTACGCAAATGCCGAAGCGATGTAAAAAAAATAATACGATGATGTCACAAACTGATATCCACTACGTTGGTTTCGAAAAAGGAATTGTGCACGCAAAGATTTTTAGTTTTTTATTATTAGAGAAGATGGTATTTCTTAGAGAAAACCCTTCGTGTTAAGAATAATGTCAACTATCTTTCATATCAGACACACAAAATGAAGTTCAAGTCCCCTTTTTGTTAAATGCTCATCTTTTAATTTGATGGGAAAAGAAAGAAACAAAAGAGTACTATCAAAAGTTTTATTTTAAGGGGTTTAAAGGTACGATTTTAAGCATTGCTTTCTGTGGTGGTGTTCTGAACAGATTGAGCCGCATCCTGAAACAAAAATAAAAATAGAATTATTAATACAATCTGATTGACAATTTATTACACTTCACAGAGAGAGAAAAAAAGTTGTTGGCAATTCTGTCATTTGGGAAAGTTGTCAATGATTTAAGTGGGTGCAGATTTATATATTATCCATTTTCTTAAAATAGGTGTGGTTTAGGGAAAGAATCATACTTCAGACTGTTAAAAATTACATTTAGCATTAAATAATGCAAAAATAGGATACAATACTGTCTTCTTACACAATACTTTGAATGTCTAATTTGGCAAAAAGATTGACACAATATTCTAATTTTGCAAAAATATTGATGCCGTATTGCAATAGGATGCACAAGTAAAATAATCCATATCTTTTTTCTTCTTCTGTGGTTACAATCTTTTCCTCACAGCTTGCGGCCCGGCAATTGACTTCAAAGAGATATTTTTATCAGGAGATTGGATCGACATGAATTAGATCTATACCTAAGGAGTAAGAGTGAAATTTTGGACTTACTTGGATCGCTTTAAACAGAAAGGAACCAAGCCACATCAGCTACGGCCAAATTTAATTTTGTACATGAAAACGGTTACGCCAATTTTTATGCAAATTCAGGTGAATTTTCTACATAGTTCTTAGCAAATTCCTTAAAATTGTCAAAGAAATTTGCACAAACTTTCTCGTGTAAATAATTAAATTGCCAATAGCTGATGTGGCTTGGTTCCTTTCGGCTAAAAGGGATTAACTTAGCCCAGAAGTAAATTAAAAGAGCGTGAAAAAATCATTATGATATTGAAATACACCTCTTACCAACAGCATCTGACAATTGGTGTTCATTCACTTAAATACAATCCTGAATTAAAGGGATCACTGATGAACTATCATCGAATACTTACACTGGCTTTGCCACCTTCCGCAGATGTTGATCGTGCTCCGCCTCGTCCACGGGAGAATCGTTTACGGTACGGCTGCCTCGGTCTCCCTTCTCCATCACCATTCTGCAAAGAACAAAGTAGATGATACATTAAAAATTGAAAGTTTCAAAATTTCAGTACCTTCAGAACTATGTTGGGGAGGAATAAACAGTTTTTGACAGTATTTGAAATGTAATTTGCAAGTATCATTCTTTAAAGAAGATTCATGGAAATGGTACAAGGGTAGGGTTGACATAAAACCAATTGAGAGAGAAACTCTGAAGGTCAAAATTAAGTTGACTGTCCTGGGGTCATGGGCTCAAGAGGAAATTCTGAAGGTCAAAATAAGACTTGGCTATCCTGAGAATACTGGTTCAATAATCAAATTCCTTCAAGCAACAGGGGTGAAAAATTACGAATTAAAATTGGTATTTAATTCATTAAAATCCGATCTCTAATTGAATCAGTGAGATCGAAAACACACCCACTCGGTAACTCGAAAATACTCAATAGTCATTAAAGACAGTTGACTTACATAAAGGTCATTGAAATTGGCGCATCTGTTCCAACTTGGACCTTTAGAGTGGCTCTAAGTACTTGTCTTTCAGCAGCAAAAATCTTTTTCTTAAACTAACTTCTTCACCTACTGTGCAGTTTTGTGTGTGTTTTAATTATTTTCATTTTTCCGAGTTGGTGTGTTTTCGTTCTCACTGATTCAATTGTTGACCCCAGGAACTTTGCGGCAGATAGCAGAAGTGATTGTGAGGGAGGGAAATGAGTCATTCTCGGGAGCCTTTCTTGCTTGAAGAATGACAGGGAGAGGGTCATCAGAGAGAATCGGAGTTCACACAGCGCACAGATGGAGGAGAGAGGGGAAAAAAATTGAGATATTTTCTGCCTTCCTTCAAGTTAGTTAAAACCTGCCCGAGCTAGCTGTACTGCTTCCTTTAATGATAAATCCCTTCTCTGTACAGAGAGAGAGGGGGAATATCATTAAAGGAAGCAAAGGAAGGAAGAAATTGAGCAATCCAAATCTGATCTAAAAAAGCTTGGATTTTCGAATAGAGGTTGTAACTGAAAGCGCAAGGGATTTGGTGTGCCTCAAATTTGTTGAATATGCGACACAGACAGTCTTTCCAGTGAGGAAGGTAAAACTAAAAGAAGTAATTCACTCAAGTGCCTCATTTAGAAGTTGTGCTTCCTGCTTCTACATCATCATCAAAGACGGAGGACTGGAATACCTAAAAAAAAAAGGACTACCGTCTCTCAAAAGAATGTGCTCACTCTAGTTTGAACATTTTTAAATGGGTTTTTCACTGCACTCGAAAGACATCATGGAAAAATAGTGAAAACATCATGCTTGAAGTAGTGCAACAAAACCTCATCTGAACGAAGGCAGCAGCATTTGATCCACAATCGGTAACCTGACCCCAAATTTTGTTTGCTTCACTATAATTGATGATGGAGTATGAATCTGAATACTTCTTCTTCAAGAATAGGAATAAGAAGAAAGAAACAGTAGACAGAAATCAAGGAATAGAGGGTTACTTCTGGGGCCATTTCATTCAGATGTGGTGAAAATCACGGAAAAATGATCATGAAGTGTCAGCTATCATCTACCCTTTTTATCTAAGCTCCTTTAGATAGAAAACAAGGGAAGCACAGACAAGTAAAATGACTAAACAACAGTAGTACTTACGTTCATGTTCTCACTTCGTGGACGGTATGGGGGGCGTCCTCCTCGGAAGTTACGACGGAAGAATCTACGTGGGGGACCTCCTCTTCCTCTTCCACCCTGTATCGCTCTGTCTTGCTGTTGAACAGAAAATTCACTCAGGTTAACATTGGACACAAAAAAATAAATTTTTCCTTTTCTCGACAAAAGAAGCTTGTCTCAGAATTAGGCTGACAGGCGGTAAAATTACCCATGGTTTGATTATAATGGACAGATTTCACAATCTTCCTCTATTCAGGGGAAACTTGGGATTATCTATATAGTCTTTCTCCATGGTTAAGGCAGTATCACGCAATCCTTAACAAATCTGGAAGATTTTTCAATTTTTTCTGAAACGTACAATAGTTTAATTTCCTGTATTGTTATTTTTATCAATGAAAATACAGTCAGTTTTGCGTTTTGGTCAAGGTTAATAGCCACAGTTAGCTTCGAACAGTTGTGCGTTGGTGAGGTGAAGCATTACAATCTCTTGCATTACGAGGAATAGGGATCCTAGTCGATATCTTTGATTCTCTTGGAATGTTTCATCTGGGACTAACAACTTATCCAAGCAATCTATTAGACATCAAATGCTTTGATACTTCTCAACGACGAGCGATTACCGTTTACAACTTGTAAAGGGTAAAATTTCCAACTTTAATTTTCTCTTCTTTTCCAGGACCTCCTTTACACTTTCCACTGCAGCATGAACCATGCTTATAGTGAGAATAAAAAACGAAAAATGAAATTTCACAAAAATAGAATCATTCAACAGTTGACAACGAGTTTTCACCGAGAGCTCTTTTAAAACATCCTCTACCACTTCATTTCAGTACGTTTCCTGGCAAAAGAGTGAACGTGAGCATCAAGTCCGATGAAAATGAATAAAAATGGATGGCCTAGACTCAGAAATGAGCAAAAGAGGTTATAGACTTACGTCTTCGCCAGGCTGCCCATCTCCTCTGTTGTATGGTCGGCGAACAGAGCGGTAGCCGCCGTAGTTGTTATACCTTTGGCGTGGTCTGTAGCGTCGGCCACCTCCTTCGTTTCCGGAACCGTCGTCACCTTTGCCCTCGCTCTCATAACCTGAAAAATCCACAGTGGGCGTGATAACTGATGTGTCACAAGAAAAAGGATATCACTTTCAAATTGTAAAACTTGTTCCTTCATAGAAAATTACATTACGGCTGATTTGGCCGTCTTTATAAATTAGATATTTTCAGATATCTTTCCAGATAGTCGGGTTGAATCAATCTGATCATCAGCTACTCTCTGCTTCAGTGATATAATATTGTCAACAAGAATACAATTGGACAAAGATTATAATAACTCTACACAGACTTTCATAGCCCTCATGCAGCATAATTGTGGCATCAGGAAGGTCAGATCTGGTGCACAGCTAAAAATAATCATCAGGCATTCAAAATCAAATGGGAACAAAAACTAGTTTTTGTTCAGTAAAGAACAGGTATAGCTAATTCCGTTCAGCAAAGATTATTCTAACTTTAAACAGCCCTCATGCAGCATAATTATGACATCATGAATGTCAGATCTGGTGCACAGCTAAAAATAATCATGGGGCATTTAAAACCATCAAAAGTGAACTTCAGCAGGGCTTGTATTTTATATCAGTCCTATTCCTAGCGGTGCTAAGAATACTTGAAATTATCAGACAAGTTAAATTCACAAAATTTAACTACTGCAGTGATAGGCAAAATTACTGACTAACAACATGTTTTATTATTCAGAACCTTCAGAAAGATCATGGGTTTCTGTTTATCCTCAGAAAAACTCAGAGTGGTGCACAGAACATTTAATCATTAGGTGAGAAGAAAAATTACGATCTAAACTTGATCAATTGAATAAAGCCATGATTTTTATCGATTTCTTTATCATCTTTTTCTCTCCCTGTTACCTTCAGAAAACAAATGGGTTTCAGTTTATCCTCAGAAAAACTCAGAGTGGTGCACAGAACATTTAATCATGAGGTAACAATTGATGAATAGTAATGGGATTACGGAGAGACTCTTATAAAGTAATTATAGTATAGATTAGCTGATCTCTGAAACGATGTCATCTGCTAGGGTTGTTACCTTCAGAAAAATAATGGGTTTCTATTTATCCTCAGAAAAACTCAGAGTGGTGCACAGAACATTTAATCATTAGGTAAAATCCATTAAACGCTTATGATTTCGTTTCGGTGAGTTTTTAATGAGTAATAATTGCAAATCGTATAAAAAGATGTTTCGGGGCAGCAGTTCATCAAGCTGAGGTTTGTCCCTCTTTTGTCTGATAAGTTAAAATCAGTAAATCAAGGCTAGATTATAACAGCACCTGAGGAAACTGACCGTATATTGCTGTAGCTACCCTGTATCATATCAGATTTAAGATCTCAGGCACTTATAAAGTAATTTGCTCGTCTCTGGAATAACTTCTATTGATGTCTTCACCTTCAGGATAATATTGGGTTTCTGTTTATCCTCAGAAAAACTCAGAGTGGTGCACAGAACATTTAATCATTAGGTATAAATTGATTGAGGGCTTTCAATTTAGATTTGGTGAGAAACTTGTAAATTAATTAGCTCATTTCTGACATCTTTTCTGGTGAAGTTTAGACTACCTTCAGGAAAATAATGGGTTTCTGTTTATCCTCAGGAAAACTCAGAGTGGTGCACAGAACATATAATCATTAGGTAGTAAATTAATTCTTGAGCATGATATCATAGTTGCTGGAGAGGTGAGACTGTTGAATTATCTACTGATCACAATATTAATTTCGTCTAATAAATGTTTGACCTTCAGGAGAAAATTGGGTTTCTGTTTATCCTCAGAAAAACTCAGAGTGGTGCACAGAACATATAATCATTAGGTAAAAATTGATAGGGGGCTTTTAATTTCATTTCGTTAAGGGACTTGCAAATTAAATGGCTGAATCTCTAGAAACAATATCTTCTACAGAAGTCATTGCCTTCAGGAGAATAATGGGTTTCTGTTTATCCTCAGAAATACTCAGAGTGGTGCACAGAACATTTAATCATTAGGCAGTAAATAAATACTTAAGTAAAAAATCGCAGTTGCTGGGGAGTCAATACCATTAGATTTATCGGCAGACGACAGAATTTTGACTATCTACTTGCCGATAAAGGGTAGTTTACAGTAACAGGATCAGGCAATGAAATGCGGTATACAGTATGGTTAAGTTGGGGCAATGTCTTGTCTCATCGAGCTGACAGTTTCCATCCTGATAGATTCTGTACCTTCAGAGAATTCTGAGTTTCTATTCATTCTACAATATACTCAGTGGGAGTACTATTTCATCATCAAGTAAGCTAATGTCAGTACCTTGGTGACTTTCATCAATTTATTCCCCTAACTTCAAACCCTAAGTGCAATCGTTTTCATACGGAACCAAAATTTCCTTTCCAGAAAAAAGTGTGTCCTTGGAGCCTATTAATCATGAGGATAATTCATTGTTTCAATAGCCTGAGTTTCTGCGTGTTGGTCTTTTATTTCACCCTGAGTTACCAAGAATTTAGAAAATTAAATTCCCTGACATTTCTTCGATTTCCCTTTCACATTATGGTAAAATTTCCTGACAACTGATCAGTGAGAACAAAAACACACCAACTAAGAAAAATTAAAATAATCAAGACACACACTAAACTGAACAGTAGGTGCAGAAGTTAGTTTACGAAAAATATTGTTGCTTCCGAAAGACAAGAACTTATGGACACTTTAAAGGTTCAACTTGGAACAGATGCACTAACTGTTATCAGGGTGGCAAGTCAAGTTCAATTTCAAAATTCCCTGGCTTTTTGTAGGCAAGAGAACGCGACTTTTCCTGAATACGATGAAATTTCCTGACTTTTTAAAGACATCGACGCGCAGTTGCACTCAGCATGTTGTGGGTAAATTCGGTGCTGAATTGAATTATAGCCTGAAATGCACATTTTTAACTTCTTTTGATAAAAAGAGATAACCATTTCAAAGAAAATTCAGAATAAAAAAATTACACACATTAATTAAAATTTTAAATTTTCATTCAACTTCTCAATAATGTATGAAAGGGAAGGAGTGGCGTATGATGAATCAGTCTCTGTATTAAAACCACTGAAACCGGTCAGCTGTTAAAGCTGTGAGGTTGTGCCGTAATAGCTACAAAATTTGGTCCTAAGATAATAACACTAGCCATTCAGGGAGCACTTTGTAGAAAGATGCTGAACATGGTTTAAGGGAGCAATAACAGAAAGCAAGAAAACAAGATTTTGAACACAGAAAAAAGTTCATAAATTTGAACAGTTCAGTTCAGCACCACTTCATTTACCATGTTAGGTTAGGAGGATTTCACCGCAGAGCCATGCAGTTGCACCAACCTTACATGTTCTCTACCAAAACACGGCAGATTCGAACTATGCATACTATATTCCGCGATCTGCACGGACCTGACTTGAGGTTATTAATAAAATTGTTTTTATTGGTCGACGGTTGTCAACGACTCCCAATTCACGCGTGTTTCTGCTAATTCCCCCTACCAAAAGCCGCCGGGCGCAACGAAATAGCCGACAGGATCATTCTTTTAGTGTGCATAGGTTGGTAAGTCACAACGATGACCGAGGAGTTGAAGAGAGGGGGACCGACGAAAAAGAACGACACCCAACGGAGTCGGACGGAAATGACCGATCGTGGAACACTGTTGCCATGTAGAGGAGGGACGGAACTCTGAATGCTACGTATGTATTTGTTAGTTCATAAGATGCGCTACAAAAATTCCCTGACCGCGTCAATAATTCCCTGACTTTTCCCGGTCACTCAAAATTCCCTGACAATTCCCGGTTTTCCCCGACACTTGCCACCCTGGTAATGACCTTAATGTAAACTAACTGTCTTAAATGGAAATTGAGCATTTTTGAGTTACTGAGTTGCTGTGTTTTCGTTCTGATTCAAATGAGGTTATGCCAGATGGTTAAAAAGGCATAAGATGAACTAGTTTAGAGGCAAAATTTGTTATTCGACACTCCAAACCCATTCACGAAAGTAAATAATGGCGACTTCACAATTTTTCCCTGACATTTCTCTGACTGCAGCAACCCTGTTCATCCCTGTTTTCCAACAAGAGCCTCTCGAGTGAAAATAGGGGGTTTTGACAATTGGCTTAGATAGATACCTCCTCTCGGTGGTCCATAGCCGCCACGACCACGTCCTCGTCCTCCATAGAACCAGCTGCGGTAGTTACGGCGGCGGTCAGCAGCGTATGGGGATCCTTTGACGGCTTCACCACCGGGTCCAGTCACGTTTGCAGCTTCATTGCCTTTCTCACCGGCAACGACGTCAAATTCAACGGTTTCGCCATCTCCCACGCTCCTTACGGCTTTGCGGGGATTGTTCTTGACAATAGCAGATTGGTGCACGAAGACATCTTCTTTCGTGTCACTCCTGAAACAGAGAAAAATAAAGTGGTCAGAGAGACACTTAGAGATGGTCAAAATTTAAAAAAAAAAAAAAAAAACCGTTCACTTTTTTCGTAGAATTGGCACACAGTTAAAAGGAATCGTAGGTTATTGACAATTGGATTGCTTTTGGCAGAAAGGAACCAGCGCAATTACAGTGTTGTTAAAATGTTGCTTCTACGTAATTAGCTAACAAATCTCCCAGAATAGCAAATGATAGTTTTTGCTTCCTACCAAAAAATTGTTAATTTTAGGGGAACATGATTGTGTAACTTTTACAACTGTACATATACATTTAGTATTTGAAAAAGAAAAAAAGAAGTTGCACAATTTTAAAAACACTGAAATCACGCTGGTTCCTTTTTGCTAAATGCGATCCAATTATTCCCAAGTACTCTAAAAAAGAAGGGCAGGAAAGGGCAGTGTTTTACAAACTATCTTCATTCCTTGACTTCCTATCCCCCTTCCCTTAAATTTCTTTCTACTTATACAGTTCTTTATCAGTGTATTTCCAAGAAATTCAGTACCTCCACAACGAAAAAATTCAGTTCTTTTTCAGTACCCTCATTTGACTAAATGCGAAAACTTTCAAAAATTTGAATTTCTCGCTCAAATTGCGACCAAAATGACAAAAAAAGAAAAAAATTCCGGACCTTCTTGCGGAATTTCCGCAATTGGTCAGTCCTTTCGGACCGCCTTTCTTCCGGGCTTGTAGACACCCTGGAGTCAAAGCTCCAAAAAGCGCGGTGCATCAACCGAGTCAAGTCGGAGCCGACCTGGAGGACGGAGGATTCGCAGACACGCGCTCGACGTCGGGCCAGGGGCGGAGGGGGGATAAAAATAGCGGGTAGACGGGATTTGGCGGGCCAGACGGAACGGGGCTGACTCGGTGCACTTCGGGGAAGTTACTCGGGTCCCGGCGGGAGGGGGCGGGGCCGGGGGCGCAGGCGACGCTCCAAAAGCGAGGGGTGCACGCTCGCCGGTGCAGCCGAGACCAGGGGTTCCCGACGACGCCGCACCGCGCCGCGCCGCCCGGCGTCGGGTCAATAACCTCGGTCACCTCGTCCGGGTCCGCCCCGCGTTGCCGCGTTCCCCGTCTCGGCTCCGGCAAAGGACCGCGTTCCTCGCGTTCCCTTTCGCTTTCCTCGTCGTCGCCCATGAGGAAAAGGAGCGCCGACGAAAGCGAAAAGCCGCGACTCGCAACGATTGGCAGCGAATAACGCCGTCCCGGAATCCTGGGATTACGCCGTCGTTAGCCTAGGTCAGCGACGCTACGTAACAACCCGATTGGAGCGCACGCCGCGGAAGGCACTCCGTAAACGGGGAAGTTCTACCGTGTTTTGTTTCTTTCTTCTATTTTGACATTGAACTTAACTTCTTTAGGCCTTTTTTCTGTTAATTTACCTGAGGCCTTCGCTATAACTTGGATTCCATTTTGCAATGAGGAACCACTACTTCTCGCCCATTTTAGAAACAACATACGTGCCTGGTTTTCCTATGCAGATATGTGCTTTTAAAGGAGGGCCAGAGATATTGGTTCTTAATTGCAAAATGTGATCTACTTGTTCCTCAATAATACTGCCGTGCAAAGGAAAAACACCGTATGAGCCCTCAGACGTTGTCAAATTTCCTCCAATAAAATACAAATTAACTGGGAAATTTGAGCATATGTTCCTTCAAGTTTTTAGGGGAATTTTATTTCTCATCAGATCTAAATTACCTAAAAATTTCAGGGAAAACTACTCATATCACTCCTCAAAACGAAGCATTTTAATGGAAGAAATTTAGCAACTCTCGAACGTTCATACGGCGTTCTTCCTTAGCACGGCAGAATATAGGTTGCTATTACGTCCCCCGGTTCGTTGAACTGATTCGCCCAAACTTCGCTCGTCAGGACGAGGCCCTGGACTATGAAGAATAAACTCACAAAAATTTAAAGTTTCAGCGTTGTTATAATTTTAAAATCTAGTAGAGAATTTAGGAAAGTTGGGGAACGTCTAATATAGTTAGGCTCCTTCCAGTTAATTCTGTCCAGGACAAGCGGGGAAACCGGAGAAAAGAAGGTCGCAGATGATAATAACTTCGACGCCTTTATTCTGGAAATTACGGCGGGTTATTACGGCTTTCGGCAATTGCTTTTAAAACGACTTTTATCAGTCTCTTGCCGCAAAAGTCCTAACGAGATCGATTTAGTAGCACGCTGTGATAAGGTTAAGAAGAATGGTTTGGTATACAGGTACGGCTCAATTCAAATGGATGGAATTTTGGCAACCCTTCAACTGAGACAGTGATGCATTGCGTTGCCTTTGCTGAAACCGGACGAATTCCGCTACAGCTCGAAGTTCGCCTTGAAGAGGCGTCGGGTTTGCGTGCCTTTTCAGATTCACTATCAGTCGATGGCTCAATATTGATGATAAATTTGGGATCGCTTGGTAATAATGCGGGTTAAGTAACCCCCCCCCCTTTCTCTCATTAACTGCTTTTACAGATTTCCCGTCAATTCTCTTCAGAAACGGAATGGAGGGATATACCTTCAGACTCCCGTGTTTCGACGAAAAAAATGTTCGTTTCCGGATGTATCCAGGTTTTTTCCGGTCCTCAATGTTATTTTGTTGAGTCATCAAAAAAACCGACGAGGCAAAGAGTCCACGCAAAAAGTTTACACTTTTCTAAACTGCGACAGAAGATACCTTTATGATGTAGCTTTTCCGTGTGAAGTAGATGGCAGAATCAAGATGGCGGATCTTCTGTCGCACTGTAGAAGTGCGTAAACTGATTTGGCCTGGACCCAGTGCGTTCTCAAACCAAGACGCGCCTTAGAGACTGGACTTTTTAACAAACGTTTAGGTACTACAAAATAATTATTGCTTACAAATCGTGCGGAACGCAAAATACTTGAGCACTTGTCAAGGATTTCGGAACCTCGTACGGTTCCGATGGTATAATATGTAGTACCTCGTGTGGTATAATAGTTGGATAATAATCTGTATTCTACTTTGGCGTCTACTGAGCGATAATTCGACTCAAATAGAGCATATTATAGACGAAGTTACTTTACCAGAATCTTTAGCACTACATCATGCACAATACAAGAATGTAGTGACTCTAGACTGGAATGGAATACACAGTGAATTGGATTAAATTTAGCAATAAGGAACCACTAGTTTTGGCTCATTTTAGAAACAACATATATGCCATTGGTTCCCCTATGCAGTAGAGTGGGAAAAGCCAGGGGCAGTGGCTCTTTATCGGAAAACGTAATTCAATTCATCCGTGAGTAAAAACAAACGTGGTTCCAAAGCCATTAGTTAGAACAGGGGTTGCGGAGAAAAATTTTTAACTGGCGAGCTTAAAAAGAAATCTTATCAAAACTTTTCCAAGAGGGCCTGAACAATGAATGAAATTTTTCTTCTCTTCCACCTTGCTATCCTGATATGGCCGGTAACGATAACGTTAAAAAAACTGATCATTCCATGGTTACATACATAAAATGGGGTAACGACGGGGTTTACTGCTTGTTGGCGTTTGTGTGCCCTTGACCTCAAGACCCGCAAAGCACTTAACCGATTAACGATGACTGTTGCTGTGTAATGAAAAATGAGCTGCATGAAATAATGAAATATGCGATTAGAACATGTAATCCCCTACGTAAGCATTTATCGACACCCAACATCCTCGTCAACAGGAATCGGATAGGCTGATGGGCCATGAGGTCATGGTTCTAGATCAGCTGCTCAACAGGGGGTCTGTTGAAACGAGGGGGAGGGGGGGATAATATTAAAAACCGCTTAAGTGTCGCAGTTTTTTTCGGTCATGTCATTCAGTCTACTTTGACGACTGTATTCTACTTTGGCGTCCACTGAGTGAAAAATTGACTCAGATGGAGCATATTGTAGGAAGCATTACTTTACCAGCGACTTTAGCACTATATCATGAATGATAACAAGAAATAGTGACTCTAAGCCTGGAAAGGAAGGCAATAGGAATCCGATAGGCTGATGGGCCGTGAGCTCATGGTTCTAGATCAGCTGCTCAACAGGGTCTGTTGAAAGGTAAGGGGGATAAAAGTAACAAACGCTGAAGTGTCACAGTCTCTTTCGATCATGTAATTCCATCTAATTTGACAATTGTATTCAACTTTGGCGTCCACTGAGTAAAAAATTGACTCAGATAGAGCATATTGTAGAAAACATTACTTTACCAGCGACTTTAGCACTATATCATGAATGATAACAAGAAATAGTGACTCTAAGCCTGGAACGGAAGGTATCAAAGTAGTCATGATGATGCGAGATTATAAAAAAAAATACACTTTTTGAACTCTTACGAATAGATCGAGCTTGCAAATCAGAGAAAATCAGTTCAGCGGGTTTAACCGGAATCAGTCTTCTACGTTGCCTAATTCATATGATCAATTTTTTTCTTCTTCGACACAGAACGTGACTACTTAACGCATTTAAACTTTACTAGATGAGATAAATTGGACTGCATTTTGCAATTTTGACGTATAAATTCCGGCCCGGTTTAAAAACAACGTATCTGCCATTTGTTTCCTATGCACATAAGTGTTTTTTCAGATGAGCCAGAATTTATAGGTCCATATTGCAAAATGCAGTCCAATTAATCATGTTCTTAACGCTGCAGACTATATCTACTGATCTTCGTCGATTTGCTTAGTTTCCTCTAAAAAAGGGGGGGGGGGAGGTCCGCTAAGGATGACGTAATTTTTGGAGGGGGGCATGGCGGTGGATACGGCGAGGTAGGGGGGTCGAAAAATTGAAAAAAATGGGTGTCGCGATTTGTGGACGGCCTCTTATGTGCATAGGAAAACTAAAGGCACATACGTGCGTAGTTTCTACTCTTGGCCAGGAACCGTAGTTCCAAATTTCAGAATGTGGTCCACTTGATGATCAAAATATGTTTCAATCGCCGTGACCAAGAACTGCACGGAGAGAAGCGACACGGAGGGGGCTCGGCACTCCCCCC